ACCTTTATTTTTTATCATAGCAAAATCCAAGATGTTTTTCTGTGCCTTTGCTGTCTTCTCCTCCCTCAGATGACTTGAGATTCAATTCCTCAACACCTTCAAAATTATGTCACTTCCAGCATAGACTTCCTTTGTGTAACCTTAGCCATTTATTTTTGTAAGCACTGCTGGGGCTGTGTTGATAGAATCCAAATGTGGTGACTCCAATGGTCTTAATGATGAAAAGACTGTTATAAAAATATTTGCCAATATTTGCCATCATTCTTTTATTGTCTTCCTTCCAATTTCATCTTTTATGCCCTCTGAATGACTCTGCTTAGTTGAGTTTCTTGTCACACTAACTTTAAACTTTTTTCTTTCCCCTTCTCACTGTTCTGAGTCAATATTGTTCATAATCTTCCACCATCCTTCTCCATAAGAAGATTGTGACTGCTTCCCAAGGATCAGCCTAGCTAAGTAGGTAGACACTCTTTACCAGACTCTTGGTGGTAAATTATTTGACCATGGCAACTCATAAGGCAAAGGGAAAAAAAATACAAAATGGCCCCTGTTCTTGGATCAGAGGCCTTTGTATCTGCGATGATAGTGGCAGAAAAGGGGCCAGAAGGTGCTAGTATTCATGCAGTTTTAGACCTTCTTTAAACATTAGCTTTGTAGTTTGTGTTCTAAATGTAAAATTTGCATGTCAAGTAACTGAGTAAATATACTATGGCAATAATTGAATCATGTCAGTCTTGATATTTTTATTATAAAGTAAGAAAATAGAAGAATGTTTCATCTAGTTGCAAGCATAGTATAGCTCTCATTGGAGAGGCAAACAAAAGAGTTGGCGATTTTATCTTACATCCCAAAAAACCAGAAAGCATCGCTTAGTGTGACATTTGACTATTTCCTAATTACAATGCTTATAGATAAATATTTGGTTGGATAAAAAAACCACAATGAAAATAATTACAAATTATGGACCAACATTTGTTGGTAGAGCATAAAGAAGTAGGGAAATTCTATTCAGAATTTGAGTGGATCATCCAAGTTAAATGGCAGCTAACATTTACATATCCATTTAATTTATGCATATGTTATCTAATTGGATCCTCGCAAATAATCTTATGAGTTAGGTGATATTATTTTACCCCATTTTTCAGGTGAGGCCTAGGTGATAGTGACTTATCCAGGGTCACATTGGTAATAAAAATCATTTCCTAATGACTACATATCTAGCACTCTATCCACTGTACCACATTCCCCCTAAATGAACATTTCAGCACTACTTAATCATGAAAGAAGATAATTTCAGAGGCTTAAGAATTCATCATTTTGCTAGATAACCATGACTCCAGTGAGGGACTAGCAGTGCAGAATGAGGCATACTTTTTCTGACATAGCCAAGTTGTAGTTCTCTTTTTTATTATTTATTTTTAGAAGGGAAAGCATTTACTTTTGTTTTGTTTTGTTTGGGGAGGGGGTAGTAATAGCAATGCCAAAAGAAAAGGGAGGGGGTGAACTAATGAAACATTTATATCATATACAGAAGAGAGCAGAAGGAAGTTCCAAAAGATATTAACAGAGAAATATTGGAGTTACAGTTCTAAATATTCTATATACTTGTAAAAAATACATAAGCTTGACATAGTTTCATGTGTAATTCTCTTTTCATGATTATGTTTATTGGTAGCTATCTGAGTTAATAATTTTGTAAATGTTTTTCTTAATCTGGGACTGCTGGAGGGAGAAGGGAAAATAGTGTTGACAGATGAGCTGCACTTACATTTAAAGACCTTCCCAGAAGTAGGCCTGAAGTGAAAAGTTAATTGTTCTACAATTTGCTTTCCTTATAAAAGCGTTTGGGGAGATATGGCATAGAGATGACCTGAGACCAGGGCAAAATGAGATGAAGAGATGAGATGGATATTATTTACAACTAGTTGGACAAGAGTGAGATTTTTACACTGTGGGTAGATGGCATTAGGAAAAGCCAGAGGCCATGTGTCTTTGTATAGAAAGAACTGGCCAGGACTCAGCAGGACCTAGCTTTAAGTCCCACCTTTGGTTCATCCTGGCTGAATCTCCCTGGAGATATCATTTAACCTCCCATGCCCCAAGCAGTTCTCTTGAGACTACAAGTTACAAAACATTTATAGAGTTTCCTCATCAAGAGTTTCCTGTACAAATGAAGTCACAGGTCATATCCCATCTTTATTTGGGGGGGGGGGGGGGCAGAAACCAGCTAAGTTGAAAGGGAACACATTATGTTGGTGGCACTAAATAGTGAAGGTATCAGGGCAGCTGGGTTGGGGCAATGGCTAAAGCTCCAGCCTTGGAGTCAGGAGGACCTGAGTTCAAATCCGGCCTCAGACATTTCACATTTACTAGCTGTGTGACCCTGAGCAAGTCACTTAACCCTGATTGCCTGGCCAAAAAATTTTTTGGGTTTTGGTTTTTGTTTGTTTGTTTGTTTGTTTTAGTGAAGGTATTTGTATGCCAGACTAAGAAGCTTAGATTTTATTTGCAGTGGAGAAATCTACAGATAGTTTTTAGTAGGGGAATTAAGTAATCAAAATAGTTTTGTAAAATGTTTAGTCTGGCAGCACTGTGTTGGTTGACTTGGAAGGGGCAGGAAAAGGTGAGAGGATAGGTGGAAGGTAGATAGACCATAAGATCATAAGGGTAGTACGGTCAGGAATAGAAAGGAAGAAAAAGAGATGAGAGAGATAAGGAAAAAATAAATGATAAGATATTTGACTCAAGGAGCTAAAAATTTGTAGTCAGAAGATGACTATTTTGAAGTTAGGTGACTGGGAAGATTGTAGTATCCCTTGGTCATAAAATGGAGAGACTTTTAGGGAGTGGGAGCATACAAGTATTTTGACATTTTTCAGTGAATGATCTTCTCACCCTTGAGAATACTACTTATTTAAGTCTTTGTTTGAGATTCACAGAATGACCACAAATAAAGACCAAAGTTAGTGAAAACCTCAACAAGTATGACAGATAGATAGACACATAGAAAGGAACAAAGGAAGAAAGATCCGTGTAGTTCCTGTCCTCCAAGAGCTTATATTGAAAGGGGTAGCTGCTACACGCAAAGGCGAGCCTGAGAAGGGGGTGAAGGGAGGCAATCTGTAATTCTGGTGACAGGCAAGGTAAAGCAGTAGCTCACCTATCAGGCCTGGTTTCCAAAGTTGAACTGGGATGGGGTGGGTGGAGATGATAGTTGGAGTTCAGGAGGGACAGTATGGAAATGGCCAAGAAGGAACAACATATATTTACTTGGGGTTTATGAAGGAATAATTCACTTATATAGACTTTTATTTTTTGCCTTTTGTCCCAAAAATCTAGTACAGTGTCTTGCACAGTAAGTGCTTCATGTTTATTAAATAATTAAAAATATATATCATATATCAGCTTTGTGTCATAATTCAACAAAATGTGATCATCCAGGTCATTAATACAAATTCTGAATATAACATAATTAAAAACACAATTCTGTGGCATTTCTCTTAAAACAACAAACCATATTGAAAAATCTTCCACAGTAGTGCAACATGATTTTCTAGGCTTAGATTCCCTCCATCCCCCTATGCAAAAGCTTTGCATTCAATAGAATAGGTTATTAATTTTCCACCCCCTCCTTCCTTGTTTTCCTTCAGAAAGAACCTCTCTATTTTAGTTGCACATTTCTAAATTATCATCTTTACTCTCCAGTTCATTTTATTGGAATATGGTTCTCATTTCTTTGCATTTTTTAATTACTATTTACCTTTCGTGTTCAAATCCCAATTCTTCTTTGAAGCCTTCCAGACCACTCCAGGAATAGTTATTATTCTTTCCTCTTAGTTCCTGTAATATTTAGATCATTAATACTTGCAAACTGGAATTGGGAGGGATCTTAGGTTATCTTGTTCTAAGTCTTTTCGTTTTACAGGTGAATAAATTTAAGGTTAATTTGCTGCCCAGCAGCCAGTAAGGGGCCAGACATAGACTAAAACCTGCATTTCCTTAGTCTCATTCTATTATTTTTTCCATTAATTTATATGTTCTACCTATTCTACCATTCCTTTGGTAATAACCTGCCTTGTATTTTTGGTTGATCTTTTTAATAGGTATACATCTCATTTTCCTGCTAGATTTTAAGTTTTCTTAGGACACCAGCAAGGTTGGTGGTGCTGGTGCTGGTGATGGTGGTGGTTGTTGTCGTTGGAGAGGGGCTGGAAGAGTGGGGTAATTTCATCAGTGAAGGAAACTCCAATGGAAATTATTACTGAGGTTAAGTAAAATGCCCAGAGTCCTGTAACTAGCAACTAAGTTCTATACGTTTTTGGATTCCCTCCTCTCCTCCATCATATCAAGACCTAGATCTGGATTACTGGGTCCATGGCAGCTGACAAGATAAGCTACTGACCAAAGCGTTCCTATGAACTATATATGTTTTGTTCAACTATTTACTTTTCTATATTAAAGCTTTACTTAATAGTAAACGATCTAATGATCATTAAAGCTTTAGTATTGGTTTGGATATTACGATTATTCTTTTCAGGAAGATCTCAGGTTACCATGATGAATATCACTGGCAGAAAGCCCATGGGGAGAAGGAGCTTATTCTTTGGATTTTCTCAGTAATTTTACCAGCTAAATAATAATAAGATATTTCAGTTGCTGTATTCGCTAGTCACAGCTTAAAGTTACCTTAAAATATTCAGGTATTAATTATTGACTTTTCAGAAAGTAGATTACATTTCTTTTCTAAATTACAGCTTTAATTTACTTGAGAAGATAAATGGTCAAATACCATAATAACTATTCAGAATTTCATGTATTTCTCCAGAAAACAGCTCATTCATGTACTAGATTATCAAAGTACCTCTCCATTTGGTCTTACTGCCATCAGATCAACCTGATGAAATGGAAGATAGACACACTTAAAATGCATTTGAGAACACTGTGTGCAGTAATATCACGTGCAGGTACTAATTTTTAAAAAAATCTTTATTCATCTCTAGCTGCCTTTCCACACCGACTGAATCTCTTTTACCTGGCCAATGATGTTATACAGAACTGCAAACGGAAAAATGCAATCATATTCCGTGAATCATTTGCTGAAGTGCTTCCTGAAGCTGCGTCTCTGGTGAAGTAAGTATTCTTTTAAGTTTTTAAAATTATGATTTAATTTCCTTTTGTACCTGACAAGAAAATAGGAGAATCTGTTTGAATGATGTTTTTCCCCTTATATTTTATAATTTGTTGCTATGATTTATTTAAGTTGTGCCACTTATTTGTTGCTTGTCTACTCATTTATAATTTTCATGTGCATAGAATAATACTTTTCTTTAATGGATCCTTTTTTGATAGGATTACCAAAGTGGTAGGTGAGGAAAATTCTGGGAATGTAGTGGACCTAGATTTTAGCAAAACCTTTGATAAAGTATTTCTTGTCCTTGTGGAGAGATTAAGACTAGACCATGAAACAACTAGATAGAAGCAAGAAGATCAGTTAAAAGGCAAGACTTGTCAACTGACACTCAAGATGTCTCATCCCTAGGAAAGACTCAAGGATGACTGTGAGGTTGCAAACCTGTAAGAGTAGAAGGATAGTTATACCCTTAATAGAAATAGGGATTTTTTGGAGAGTTATGTTTAGAGAGGAATGTACTGACTTCTGTTTTAGATATTTTGAATTTGCAATTCAGTAGAAAATCCAGGTGGAAATGTCTAACAGGCAATTATTGATTGGGACTGGAGTTTAGGAAAGATTAGAACTAGTTGTTGTATAGATTTAGAGTAATCTGCATAGGAGTGATGCTTGAAACCATAACTACAGGTGAGATCAAAGTAGAAAAAGAGAAGAGGACAGATCCCAACACAGACCCTTGGTGAAACTCATGTTTAAGGGGCACAGTGGTGTGATCAAACAGGTAGCCAGAAAACCAGGAGAGAATACTGTCACAGAAGCACAGGGGGAAGCGAATTTTGAGGAGTAGGAGAATGGGCATCGGTGCCAAAAGCTGTAGTGTCGTTTCATTTGAATTGGGAGGTAGGACACCAGTTTGCAACTCACAAAGAAATGAGTGGGATGTGACTTTGGGAGCAAGGTTGTGTGAAGAATCTTTTCTAGGCTTTTGACTGAAAGGAAGAAGAAGATAGAGGAGGTAGCTTAAGGAAATAACAGAATCAAATGGAGATTTTTTTTTTTAAAGGATGGGGCAACCTGGGCATTTTATAGGAAAAGGATAACTAGCCAGCGATTAAGGAAAGATTGAAAGATGTTTAGCTTGGAGAAGAGATGACTTGGGAGGAAGGGAGAAATGAAGCTGTCTTTAGCTATTTGAAGGGCTGTCACCTGGAATGGCTTGTTCTTCTTCGTCTCAGAAAACAGTTAGTGAAAGTTGCAATCGGGCAAGTTTAGGCTTAATATAAGAAAGGCCTTTTTCATAATTAGAACATAGGGTTATAAAAAAGGGCTCAGGCCCCCACAGGATATTAGTGAGTTCCATCCTATTCATTGAAGGACTTTAAGCAAGAGTTTAGTGACTTCTTGTCGGAGAGGTTGTAGAGGGAATTCTTTTTTAGGTATGGGTTAGACCAGATGGCCATAGATGCAGGTTCCTTTCACCTAAAATTTTCTGTGGTGAAGATAAAGGGAAGTGATCAAGTTTAATAAAAAGAGCAAGTACTTACATAGCACCTACTATGTGCCAAGCATCCTACCGAGCACTTTGCAATTATTACCTCATTTGATCCTCACAACACTCCTGGGAGGTAGGTGCTATTATATATTATAGTTGAGGAAACTGAGGCAATCAGAAGTTAAGTGATTAGCTTAAAGACTGAAAGCTAGTAAGTCTGAGTCTTGATTTGAACACAAGAAGGGTCTTCCAAAGGAAACAGATAGTCAAGTGGCATCCATGAAATACCTGTTATTGACTCAGGCACTGTGCTAAGGGCTGGGGGTATTAAAAAAGGCAAAAAAGAACTTCACCCTCTAATGGGGAGACAACATGCAAAATATGTATACAAACAATATATATGCAAAATTAAGGAAAGCACTGAGGAGAACCGGGAAAGGCTTCTTGCAGAAGGTCAGACTTTATCTGAGATTTGAAGAAAGCCAGGAGGTGGTGATGAGGTGGTAGAGAGTACCAGGGTTCAAGAACACACATGAAGAGGGATTTGTGTGGATATGGAGAAAAGGGCCACTTCTTCCTCCTTCATTGCAGCAAAGGAGGAAAGAACAGGAGATGATATCAGAGGGTATATAGTGTGGAATGGAGTAGAGAAGGGAGTTGGTGTCAATTGATGTTGATTAATCAGTGAAGTACAAAGTCAGGCTGTCTGCTGAGGGAGAAAGGAGGAGAAAGAGTGGTGGTTGAAGCTTAAGACAGAAAAGGGGGGGACAGCTAGGTGGCTCAGAGGATAGAGCTCTGGCCTTGAAGTCAGCAGGACCTGAGTTCAAATGTGGCCTCAGACACATGACACTTACTGGGTTGTGTAACCGTGGGCAAGTCACTTAACCCTGTTTGCCTCACCAAAAAAAAAGAAAAGAAAAGAAAAAGATTGGGGACCACATGGTAGAAGAGTTATGAAAGGAATGATAAAAAGATGGTTTACTTCTGTGGTATAACATTTGAGATTAAATAAATAATAAACATTGGTAGTGGACTTGATTATCACACAATTCTGTGATTTCCTCTTGCAGAGTTCAGCCCAAGAGTAGAAGTCATTTCATGAGGATGTCACGGATACTTTGCAAACTAGAGGTTTCGGACTAGCTGAACCCCAAGAGCCTTTCCTGCTCTAAAGTTACATAGTTCCAAAGAGGGAAGACTTGAGAGAGTCTTGAAATTAATGCCAATGAGAAGGTAGCAACAGGAAAAATGTACACACACACACACACACACACACACACACACACACACACTTGTTGGTAGTAGGTATACAAGGTAGAAGGTAAACAGACAATTCCAACAATTGCATAGACATAGACAATTCTAGCAACTATATAAATGAAGATAATTTTAAAGGACAGCAAAATTCAGTATTAGATATACATTCATTCTTTCTCTTAACAAACTCAACTCTAAGAAGGCACCAAAAAACCTTACACTCTTTGAGGTGGAAAGAATGGAAATCTAAAGGGATGTCCATAAGTGGGACAATGGATGAACTGGTTGTGGTGTATAAACATGGTCCATGAGTTGTGTAATGTGAAAGATTCAGTTAGAAAGACAATGGGGTTTTGTATAATGTTACAAAGTAAAAATTTTAAAACCTGACAACATCGTTCCATCATTAGAAAATATAGACAAACACAATTACAAAACACTTTTCACACAAATAAAGTCAGATCTAAATAATTGGAAAAACATCAGTTGCTCATGGGTAGGCCGAGTTAATGCAATAAAAAAGACAGTTCTGCCTAAGCTAATTTACTTATTTAGTGCTATATCAATCAAACTACCAAAAATTATTTTATAGAGCTAGAAAAAATAACAAGATTCATTTGGAAAAACAAAAGGTCCAGAATATCAACAGAACCAATGAAAAGAAATGCTAGGGAAGGTAACCTAGCTGTTCCAGATCTTAAATTGTATTATAAAGCAGTAGTCATCAAAACTACATGGTACTGGGACAGGTAGGTGGCACAGCGGATAGAACACCGGCCCTGGATTCAGGAGGACCTGTGTTGAAATGCGGCCTCAGACTCATAACACTTATTAGCTGTGTGACCCTGGGCAAGTCACTTAACTCCATAGCCTAGCCAAAAAAAACCAAAAAAACAAAACAAAACTACTTGGTACTGGCTAAGAAATAAAGTGGTAGATCAGTAGAATAGATTAGGTATGCAAGACACAATAGTCAGTGTGACTACAGTAATCTACTATTTGATAAACCCAAAGATCCCAGCTTCTGAGATAAGAACCCCACTATTTGACAAAAACTGCTGGGAAAATTGGAAAAGAGTGTGGCAGAAACCAGGCATAGACCAAAATCTTACACCATATACCAAAATAAAGTCAAAATGAGTTCATGATTTAGATATAAAGGCTGATAGTATAAGCAAACTGGGAGAGCAAGGAATAGTTTACCTGTCTGATTTAAGGAGAACAGAAGAATTTATGACCAAACAGGAGATAGAGAACATTGTGAAATGCAAAATGGATAATTTTGATTACATTAAATTGGAAAGTTTTTTGCACAAACAAAGATGTGCAACCAAGATTAGGAGGGCAGCGGAAAACTGGGAAAGAATTTTTGCAACCAGTGTCTCTGATAAGGGTCTCATTTCTAAAATATATGAAGAACTAAGTCAAATTTATAAGAACACAGGTCATTCCCCAATTAATAAATGGTTAAAGGATATGAACAGGCAGTTGTCAGATGAAGAAATTAAAGCTATCTATAGTCATAAAAAATGCTCTAAATCACTATTGATTAGAGAAATGCAAATTAAAACAATTCTGCGGTACTGCGTTACACCTATCAGATTGGCCAACATGAGAAAACAGGACAATGATAAATGTTAGAGAAGATGTGGGAAAATTGGAACACTAATGCATTGTTGGTGGAGTTGTGAAATGATCCAGCCATTTTAGAGAGCAATTTGGAACTGTAGCCAAAGGGCTATAAAAATGTACATACCCTTTGACCCAGCAATAGCACTTCTAAGGCTAGATCCCAAAGAGATCATAAAAAAGGGAAAAGGACCCACATGTACAAAAATATTCATAGCAGCTCTTTCTGTGGTGGCGAAGAATTGGAAATTGAGGGGATACCCATCAATTGGGGAATGGCTGAACAAGTTGTGGTGTATGAATGTAATTGAATACTGTTGTGCTATAAGAAATGATGAACAGGCAGACTTCAGAAAAACCTGGAAAGACTTATATGGACTGATGCTGAGTGAAGTGAGCAGAACCAAGAGAACGTTGTACACAGTAATAGCCACGTTGTGTGATGACTGACTTTGATAGATTTAGCTCTTCTCAGCAATGCAAGGATCTAAGACATCTCCAAAAGTTGCATGCTGGAAAATGCTATCCACATCCAGAGAAAGAACTATGGAGTTTGAATACAGATCAAAGCATACTATTTGCTCTTTTTTTAAAAATTTTTATTTTTTATTTATTTTTTGT